GTGTAAATACGGAATAGTTTCTCTAGTGTGAGAAACTGAAAGTGTAAATAAGGATTAAAATGATTAAAATGAATAATTGATAATCTGAAATAGGAAAAGGTCCAATGGTGTAGGGGTGGTGGGAGGGGAAGGGGAAAGGGAAGAAGGGAAAGGAAAAATTATGAGAAAAGAAAGAAAAAATGGAAATGAAATCTATGTAAATAGGGAAGGATGGAGGGGGTGAAGAGTGCACAGGTAATGGGGGAAAAAGTGAGAACTAAGGTACATCATGTACAGGTACAAGCACCCAATGATAAATGTAAACGTACTGTATACCTAAAATGTACCAATAAAAGAATTTTTTAAAAAAAAGTTAGCTATAAACTTGCTGGTCCATAGGCTGCAGTAGAGAAGTTATATTAGGTGGGAGAAACCTGACTGAGAGTCGTGAGAATTCTTCAGCCAATTCTTCCACATCTCATGGGTGAGCAGGAGCATTGTCTATGACGATGAGAGCCTTGAGTAGTAAACTTTTGTCCTCTAGATATTTCTTTTTTTTTTTTCTTTTTTCTTTTTTTTTGGTCCCAGAGATTGAACTCAAGACCTTGTGCTTGCAAGGCAGGCATGGTGCCACTGAGCTAAATTCCTGGCCCTGATATTTCTTAACAGTAGAACAGAAAGCCTCCCTGATCCACGCCAGAAAAAGCACTCCTGTTACCCAGGCTTCTGCCTTAAATTCCCACATCACCCCTATCCTGTTCTTCATGACTATGTTTTCTGAACACTTTAGGGGTCTCAGAGTGATAAAGAGAGGCTTTATCTTGAGGTCCCCACTTGCATTGGCACATAGCAATAAGGTTAGCTTATCCTTCATAGGCTGTGGCCTGGCATTTTCTTCTCTTCCTTGGTAATGTATGTTTTCCTGAGCATTTTCTTCCAGAAAAGCCCAGTTTCATTACAGTTGAAAACTTGATGAGAGCAAAAACCATTTCTCTTTGTTATCATTTTGAAATGGTATATGTAATTTTCAGCAGCCCTTTTATCAGCACTGGCTGCTTCACTGTGCCTAGTTACACTATGAACCCCAGCTCTTGTTTTAAAATTGTGAAACAACTCCTTACTGGCACAAAATATTTCACTATTATCACTTGTTGATGGATTATCCTTTATGAGATGTGCATTTATAGCATTTATAGACCCAGGCTATAACCTGCCATCTGCCTTTCATTTATCCACACTAACTAATAGCCTTTCTACCTTGTCTAACATTGTTAATTGTGACTTACTAATTTGAGTAATACTTTAGCAACACTAGCTTCCTTATATAAATCTTTTCTCTGTAAGATTGTCAAGATGGTAGATTTGAACATGCTGTACATATTAGCGAGATCAGTCACATGAACCCCACTCATATTTCTGCATAATTCCTTTTCTATTGTGATTGCTTTCTTTATCTTCCCTTCCTTCCTTATTTCTTTTCTAGCTTTTGGGGGGCCATTTTGATAGCAGTAATTGTAGCAATTATGTAAAGTACTAACCAAAATCATGCCAACAAACACACATATCTGGGCTCAGATTGATGGTTACGTATGCTTACATATGCTTTTCTGGCATTGCTAGTCTTTGTTTACAACCACACATGCAGCTAGCATTTGGGTCAAGACTTTAGTTGTAAGTTAAAACTAAAATTTTGGTCATAACCCAGGTTGTTTGTATGTGAGGCTAGTTGTAACTGGAGGGTTCACTGTATTATGAGAGGAGTCTACAGGTGGATGCTATAGATGATGCAAGACAAGACAATACAAGTTCTTGTAGTACAGGATGAATCCTAGGTATGAGTCCTCTGGATAGGGGTGGTGGGATTTGGAAGGTTGAAAGGACACAACTTCAAGAAGTGAGGTTTCTTAGTTACTTTCTCATTGCTGAGACAAAATACCTGACATCCTCAACTTAAAGGAGGACAGATTTATTCTGGGTTTTTCCACCCAGCATTGGCTACTTCTAAGGCAGAAAACTGCATGGCAGAGAATCAGAGCAGGGGTGTTTTGGACAGGTGAGAGGAAGAATAAAATAACTGGGATGGAAGTCCAGAAAAGCCAGTATCTGCATATTGAAGGACTTTTTCACATGGGTGTGTGATGTGCCTTCTGTGATTCAGGTGAGAAGAGAGGATGTAAAGCAGAATTTGCACCAGGGTTATTTTGATTTATTAGAAATAACACCATTGAGGGCCGGGGATTTAGCTCAGTGGTTCTGCCGCCTGCCTCACAAGCACAAGGTCCTGAGTTCAATCCCCAGTACCACAAAAAAAAAAAAAAAGAAAGAAAGAAAGAAAGAAAAAGAAATAACACCATTGATTCAATTATTGAAATAATTTATTAAATTTAATATATTTAGTATCTATTATACATTAGCACTATGGTAAGTGTTAGAATTATGGTTGTAAACTATGAATGCCTTCTCTGTGCCCTTGTGGGTCATGGTCTCGTGATACAGATGCTGGTTTGTAGAGAAAGTGTATTGAGTTTTAGGATTGAATTCCATGGAGCTTTGAGAATGATTGCAAAGGGATGGAATGAGAGATATTAATCTAGTCTCCTGTTGATTATTTGATATTTGAACAAGCTCAATACTACAAGGACCTGCATTAAACATTGAAGGAGAGTGTTCATTGAAAAGAGGAATGGATTAGAGATTGAAAAAGAGTACCCTAAATATCAGTGTTCTACACAGGTGGTGGTTTGTAAATTATATGTCCAAATCCTATTTTGGGCTAATCATGAAAAACTGAGATTTTGGTGAAACTTAATGAGTTCTGACTTAGGAAAATGCATGTAGAACAGCATTTTACATGTAGTTTCATGGGATTCAGGACCAAGAATCCTGTGCATGAACCATAATTTAAGAATGCCTTGTCTATATAAAGACCCTTTAGTGGCAAGAGGTGTTAGATTTCCCTGTTGTTTTCTGTCTTTGGGCAAGGACAGGTCACTCTCAACCCTTCCTTTTGGGGTCAGAATTCCTGTCTTGGAAACAGGCCTTTCCTGTTTAGAGGAGGCAGGGCAAGAGACCTCATTTATATGTCGGTAATGACAGTGATTGTCTTCTAGAAGGCTCTGCCTTGAAGCTGAGTGTGTACAGAAACAGAGCTGTCAGCTGGGTGTGGTGGTGCTCACTTGTAATCACAGTACTTAAGAGGCTGAGGCAGGAAGATTGCTGGGAGTTCAAGCCAGCCTGAGCTACCTACTCAACCCCTTATCTTAAACCTCACCCCCCAAAAAAGAAATAGTATTGTCATCTGAAGACCAAGGGTTTAGGATAAAAGTCACATTGGCTGTCATTTAATCTTTCAGGGTTCTCAGACCTAACAATCTTATTAATAATGGGCAGCCTTATGTTTTGTTTAGTAAACTCTAGTGATAGTCTTTTTGTGTAACATCACAATTCAGTCAGGAACTCAATTAGTTTGGTGTGACTATGCCTAATAAATAGAAATGGAATAAATTCACCATTAAAAGATAAATTATCAAATTACAAATAAACACCCATAGAAGTCTGATTGAAGGCAGTTAATATACATGTAGTAAAACTTTTCACAATTCAGAATTCTATTTCAGATATGTTTATTATAGGTACAAACCCCAAATGTCTTTTCTTTTAAATCCAGGGCTCTTTGCCTATATATACTGACTTTCATTGATGCTTATATATCATCATCTGTCTCAGGCATTTACAAAGTCCACCCTGCAGGTTCACAGCCTGTTTTTGTAAATAAAGTTTTATTATAGTATAATCTTGCCATTTGTTTACATGGTTTCTGTGACTGGTTTCTTGTCACAGCAGGAGAGTTGAATAGTTGTGATAGAGAATATATGGACTGCAAATATATTTACTAACTGATCATTGACAGAAAAAAATGTGCCCACCCTGGTTAGTTTCTTGTGAATCTGGAGGGAATTCTTAAGTGAGAATTCACCAGTGTAAAATTCAGAATAAGATTTCTTTAATGTGGACAAGAGGGAAAACAATTTATATCACTTCTTATCTGGTGTCCCTCTTTGGAGATTTAAAAACAGGTCCAGCATCAAAAATCCAAAGACATCCATACACTTCAACCAGAATCTTTTGGACACTGACAGTCTCCCCAGGTCATCATATTTTTCTACTTTCATCTGTCAGACATTTTCCTACTTCATAATGAAATAATGCCCAGTTGAGCATAAATATGTGTCCTGTTTTAGGAAGGAGTAAACTTCAAAATTGTGACTGTGGACTTCACTCATGAGGATCAGGGCACTTGGAACCCTGCTGTAAGGACCCCAGACAGAGGTGTAACCCTAGAGAACCACAGAGACCTGGTGTCTTGGGGTAAGTGTGTCATCCCACATAATGAAGGTATGTCTCTTGAAATGTTTTCACATCCCCATTAAGAGCTGTGGAGTTCGGCAGCCAGAACGATTTTGACCATACATCCCTTGTGAAGATTAATTTTGATTTGTTAGGTAGAATTGGTAAAATTTCTTGGTCTTGAGCTTATTCAGTCTTCATGGCTTCCAAAGGTCAAAGGCAGTAATTTCTTTTGTCCCTAGCCCAAACACCCAAAGTCCAATATCTTTCTCTGTCAGCTTTTCAAACTACACTTAATCTCTTAGTTGGAGAAAGTGGGAAGAGTGTAAAAAGGACTTCCCAATTGGGAACCAGACACACAAGGGTCATTACAGGTATAAAAGGTTTGTTTTATAGGAGAATGCCACATTTTTTCCCACCTCTTGGTCACCACTGTTCCAGTTGTACATATCATGGAATTATCTAATATCCATTCAGGCTTGTTCTTCTGAACAAACTTCTATTCCTTCTCAGTTGAAATCACAGGAATCTATGGGCAATATTGCCTGTGAGGTATTTAGGGAACTGTGATAATTGTGCCCTTTTTCTTTCTTTCTTTCTTTCTTTTTTTTTTTTTTCTGTACCAGGGATCAAACTCAGGGCTTTGTGTTGGTCAGGCAGGTGTGGTGCTACTGAGCTAAATCCTGGCCCATGTGCCCTTTTTCTTTCTTGGGTTTGTAAATGCAATTTGTTCAAGTCTTGCTTATACAGACTATTGTAGCAAGTTTCATGCCTCTATAAATTCTTAGCAATGTAGTCAGTGATCTATTGTAGTGAACATGTGTCTAGCACTACTAAAGGTGAAAAGGTCCTTTTATTTATTCACTAAGTATTGCAAGATTGTGTTAAGATTCTGTAAATTCTGCATACATGATCTTATTTCAGAATATGAGGCTACTTGATGTTCAAAATCTTGCTTATTCAAACAAAAATGAGATAAAAATAGTTCCAGTTGAGTGCCTTGTTATACTGTTGGACTGTGGTAGTTCTATATTTACTGCTTATTCCTACCCGTTTGCTTTCTAAACCCAGATTATATAGCAAATTCATATATTTTACATTCTTGTGAAGTTTTTTTCCAATATTCTAGCTCTAACATAATCTGTCTATGGTGTCTTATTTTGCTTTATTCCAGACCTGGCAACTGCATTTGGAAGAAGAGAATCAACCTTAAAGCAGGGCATTTTTGATGAAGAACTCTCTCATGGAGTGAAGATAGAAAAATTAACAAGAGATGATCCTTGGCTGTCTTCATGTGATGAAGTTCATGGCTGTAAGGACCAGTTGGAGAAGCAACAGGAGAAGCAAGAGAGACTTTTGCAGGAAGAGGAGTTCACTCAAAGGAAAGCAATTATTCACAAGAGAATCTGCAAAAGTGATGAATCTAAGGAGAAGAATGCTGCTAATTCCAGTCTTCTTTCACTTCCCATGGTACCCATTAAAACCCATTTTCATAAATGTGTGTCGCATGTTAAAAAATTGCAACCTGATTCTGTTGTAAACAGACTTCAGAAGACTAATGACAGTGATGAATTATGTGAAAATAATGAATGTGGGAAACTCCCTCAGAGCATACATCTCATTCAGTTTACAAGAACTCAAAAAAGAGAGAAATCCTATAAATTTAGTGACAGTATTAAGTGTTTTAGTCAAGCAACACCCATAAATATAAATGAGAAAATTCATTCAGGAGGTAAAAGCTTTGATTTTAAGGAATGTGGGGAAGTTTTGAACCATGAATTATCCCTTAATGAACAACAGAGAATTCCTCTTGAAGAGAGTCAGTATAAATGTAGTAAAATTTCTCAGAATTCATCCATTGCTCAAAACATGAGAAATCAATCTGAGGAGAAACCTTTTGAATGTAATCAGTGTGGGAAATCCTTTAGCTGGAGCTCACATCTTGTTGCACATCAGAGAACTCATACTGGAGAGAAACCTTATGAATGTAATGAATGTGGAAAATCCTTCAGTCGGAGCTCACACCTTGTTTCCCATCAGAGAACTCATACAGGAGAGAAACCATACAGATGTAATCAATGTGGGAAATCCTTTAGCCAGAGCTATGTCCTTGTTGTGCACCAGAGAACTCACACTGGAGAGAAGCCTTACGAATGCAACCAGTGCGGGAAGTCATTCAGGCAGAGCTATAAGCTTATTGCACATCAAAGAACTCATACCGGAGAGAAGCCCTATGAGTGCAGTCAATGTGGGAAATCATTTATCCAGAGTTATAAACTTATTGCACATCAAAGAATCCACACTGGAGAAAAGCCATATGAATGCAATCAATGTGGAAAATCCTTTAGTCAAAGTTATAAACTAGTTGCTCACCAGAGAACTCACACAGGGGAAAAGCCCTTTGAATGTAATCAATGTGGAAAATCTTTCAGCTGGAGCTCTCAGCTGGTGGCACATCAAAGAACGCACACTGGAGAAAAGCCCTATGAGTGTAATGAGTGTGGAAAATCTTTCAACCGCAGTTCTCACCTTGTTATGCATCAGAGAACTCACACTGGAGAAAAACCCTATGAATGTAATCAGTGTGGGAAATCTTTCAGCCAGAGTTATGTTCTTGTTGTACATCAGAGAACTCATACTGGAGAAAAGCCCTATGAATGCAATCAATGTGGGAAATCCTTCAGACAGAGTTCATGCCTTACTCAACACCAGAGAACTCATACTGGCGAGAAACCATATGAATGTAGTCAGTGTGGAAAGACATTCAGCTTGAGTGCTCGACTTATAGTACATCAAAGAACTCACACTGGAGAAAAACCCTTTACATGTAATCAGTGTGGGAAAGCTTTCATTAATAGCTCTAAGCTTCTCAGGCATCAGGCAACTCATAATGAAGAGAAACCCCATGAATATAGCTAGTTTACAAATCTTCAAACCAGAATTGATTCTTTCTACTTTTGTTCTTTATAGAAGTTTATTTTAAAGGAGTGTGTTTAGATAATATATGTGTTTAGATAACTTTAGATAATGTATGTTGACAAACTTTGATCACTTGTTATGTATCTAGAAATTTCTATGAAGAAAAGGGGAAAATCTATGTACTGCACATTTTTAACTTAGGAGTTTCACATGCAAAATCAAATTTGGCCTTACAAACATTCCTGAAAAATTATTAAATATGGGTACTTTTTGTAGCAGAAAGCACTCAGTCCTGAATTGGAGAGAAAAACCAATGAAGTGTGGACCTCTTCTCAAAAAGAGCACACAAAATTCTAACACTGGTGTACTTGTTATAGAGAAGGTTGAAAGATTGCTGTAGTGTTTAGAACTTAGGCTGGAAAACAATGTTACCATATATCATTCTACTACATGATTTCCCCATTAGGTAGTTTACACACCTTTTTAAAAAAATAGCACTTTCTGTTATAAATGATAATTTTGAGAGGGGAAAAATGGAAAATGGCTATGATACAAAATGAAAAATGCTGGAGAAAAATATAGAACTATTTTCTAGAACTATATTTGTGTATGGATCAAAATTGAAAGATTATGAATGTATCTATTTGATATTTTGGTTTATATCAAGTCTTTTTCTTTTAGAAATATATGGTGTTTTGCTATAATAAATGATATGATGAGAAAAATTAGTTAAATCCAAAAAGAAACAAAGTTTGCCATCTTGTTTAACCATTTAGGAAAAACTGAGCAATCAGATAGCAGAGATCACCCAGGGTTCTGAGATTTCCATTTGGCTTAACATGAGCTAGTCACTCCTTAGGGCTTAGATTCCTTAGGGATATTACCTACAGAAAATAAAATAGTTCCTTGGAAATGGATAACTAAAATCTAGACCTGAAAGGGTTCTGCTAAGAGAATGAGAATGCATGGATAGTACAGAAGTTATGAAGGCTTACTTTAATATATTTAATGTAGTGTAAATAAGCATTTTCAGGAAAGGTTTTTTCCCCTCATGTACTATTGTCTTTATTCTCTGTGATATATTCCCTAATGTGAGAGTCCTCTGGGGATGTGCTGCTCTGCATAAATGTTCTTCACCTGAATTAAGCTTGCGAGAAGGCATTGAGTGTGGCAACCTTTTTAGGTATTCTTTGATTTTTAAGATTTGGTTCACAGTCTTTCTGGGATTTTTCTGTAAGTCATGAATTCTCATCATGTGAATTAGTATCCTAGAAAGGAAATTTTAAAAATATGTTGGCTGGGGCCAGGGATTTAGCTCAGTGGTTCCACTGCCTGCCTCACAAGTGCAAGGTCCCGAGTTCAATCCCCAGTACCAAAAAAACCCCAAACACTGGCTGGGTTTGGTGGCACACACCTGTAATCCCAGTACTCAGGAGGCTGAGGCAGGAGGATTACCACAAGTTTGAGGCCAGCCTGGATTACATAGTGAATTCAGGTCCAGCCTGAACTACAAAATGAGACCCTGTGTCAAAAAAAAAAAAAGTCAAGAGTTGAACTGAGAGATCAGAGCATAGAGGTATCTCCCCTGGAGAAATGAAGGAAAACCCAAAATGACATCTGATACAACTTTTGGTGAAATTCCATTCCCTTGAAACTGCCCAGTAGAGCAGTCTTTGAGAATTAAGTCCCAGGGTTTAGCACACTTGGCAGTGACAGAAGGTCTGGGGGAACAGTTGTTGACCTTTGGAAAACTGGCTCCCATCCTAGGATCATGTCCTCCAAGTCCATGAGTGCACAAATAGAGAAGCAGCAAGAGTTCTCCATGTAGTGGCTTTTGGAGAGGGCTTGAAATTGTGGAAAATACCAGTTTAACAATGGGACCTACGTAGACTTCTCCAAAATTATAGATAAAACTAGTATTGGTGCTTGATATAATTGGATGATTTTGCGTCTTTCATTGAAGGCAAGGAATAAAGATTGTACAAATGAATATAAAAAGTGGGCAAAAAAAATAGGGCTCTGAAAATTTGAATATTTGGAAATGACTTTTATTCCAATGGAATTTCATCAGTAAATGTTGAAAATACTTCATTGAAAATGTGAAATTTGCAAAATTGCCGAAAAACCATTTGAAAGTATCTATTGTGTGAGAGAGAAAGTGTGTGTGTGTGTGTGTGTGTGTGTGTGTGTGTGTGTGTGTGTTTCTGGCAACCTTGGTAGGTTATCGACTGTGTGTACTATGTCATAAATGTATCCACTCCTGGGTAATGAATGACTTATGGTTGGCAAGTGTTTTGAAATAAATTAGGTTCACTAATAAAAATGTTAATTTCTATCATTTTCTCCATATTTTCCCATTGCAAAAAACAAAAGGCATATTTACCAAATGGTGAACCAAAGTAAAAGAAGTATTAACATGCCTCAAATATGTAATTAAACTTCTTAAAGTTTGTATTAAAAAAGGAACCAATAGCTTCATTTTAATAACATGTATGAATATAGGTATGTATATAAATGTATCATATGAGTATATGTATATACATGCACTTGTGTTGAGCATCCCTAATCCAAAAATCTGAAATCTCCAATTGCTCCAAAATCAACTTTTTGAATGCTGACATGGTGCCACAGTGGAAAATTTCATACCTTGTGTTTTATGACAAGTTACAGTCAAAGTGCAGGCATACTTAAAATATTGTATAAAATCAACCTTCAGGCTACATGTGTAAGGTGTTTATAAAACATAAGTGAGTTTTGTATTTAGACTTGTGTCCCGTCACCGAAATATCTAATGCATCTCCAAATTTCCAAAATCTATAATATTCTTTTTTTTTTGGTACTGGGGATTGAACTCGGGACCTTGCGCTTGTGAGGCAGGAGGTGGAACCACTGAGCTAAACCCCCAGCTCCCAAAATCTATAATATTCTGAAAGTCAAAATACTTCTAGTCCTAAACATTTTGGATAAGGGTTATTCACACTGTATGTATACATTTTACAGGTCAGATTTCTTTCACCACACTCCACTAAATTTAGAAGTAAAACTGAACAAAATGTTTTTAATACCTTGATCTTAAGAAATAGTTTCCCAGAACTAGTTTTTTGAAGAGTAAATCAATACTAAATTTTAAAACTGACTACGGACCAAATGGGTGATTCTGTCCATAAGCACTTCTTTTTCTTTTATATTTGGTTTTTCAACAGTTTTCTCCACCATAACTTGATCTGGCAGAATGGAGACCATTCTATTTCTGCAAGACTTTTTTTTTGTTTTTTTTTTTTTTGGTACCGGGGATAGAACTCTGCAAGACATTTTGTGGCAATCCTAAACTTTCTATGGAAGTAAATTTCTGAATTTTCTGTACGTAAAAAAAATGTTGTGGGGGGCCGGGGATGTAGCTCAGTGGCCCCATGCCTGCCTGGCAAGCACAAGGTCCCAAGTTCAATCCCTGGTATTGCAAAAAAAAAAAAAAAAGTTATGAACATGCCATTAACTTGACTTGGTATTTAGCTCAGTGGCACTGCACCTGCCTCACAAGCACAAGGTCCTGAGTTTAATCCCCAGTACCAAAAAATATATATAAATAAATAAGTAATATGTAGGTGTGATCATAAGTGGAATGAACTGAAACTTTAGTATTTGAAATTAGGTTTAGAAAGAACCAAACCTATAGAAATACCAGGGGAGATATTTTTCCTGGTGAAATCCCAAATCCATATCTCTATTCTCTGATCATATTCTGTACTAATTGTATGGGGGTTCCATTATTGATACTGGGGATACTGTCCATTTTACTTACTACTTATATATTGTATTGGGGTAGAAGGCATGGAGATCTCTTTTTATAACCTCATGCTTTAATCGGATGTTGATAGTGTTGCTTCTCTAAACCTGTATATGAAGACAGCGAGGTCTAGGATGTGTCCCCAAGAATTTAAGTATCCTGTCACCACAGCATCCCCATGTCGTGTAGCCTCTACCTTTGAGTGCCTAGTATTCAGTTATGGATCTTATGTTCACATGAGGAAATAGAATAACACTGTATTTGGAAAATTATTCGCTGTTAATTCTGGATAAAGTCTAGCTGTACTTTTTAATATAAAGGAAAACAAAAGCATCTTGCTTTAAGTGAAACAATATTGTGACCTTTTGTGATTACTTATGAAACATTCCAATAGGTCAGAAACTGAATTAAAAATTGTAAAAGGGGGAGCCTGGGTTACAACTACAGTTGAACTGGAAAGTGTAATATCAGTTCATGCCCTGACAGGGCAACCAATCTCTTGGTGCACCTTACCCTGTGAGCTCATTGTTTGTGCAACAATATGGGACCAGGGTTATTAGGCCAGTTGTCTAAGACAGAAAAATAAAACTGAGCTTGTAATATCTTGTGATCAACAGATAAAAACACCTTCAGTGTCATCTGGGTGGTGTCGGGCTACAGGACCCGTTGGCATAAGTAGAATTCCTAGCAAAGAAGGCAGGAACTCTCTTGATTATCAAGAAACCATTAGTTATGATTAGAAGAAACAAGTAGGTTTGTGCAGAGTCTTTGGTCCATTGTTACATGCAGTATCAAGAGTGCTAAAGATAGCTGGGTATTTTGGTACATACCCCTAATCTCAGGACTCTAGGAGACTGAAGCAGGAGGATCACAATTTCAGTCCTAGCCTGGGTGACTTAGCAAGACCCTTTCTCAAAATAAAAACTACAAAATGGGCTGAGTGTGAAGGGCTTCTAATAGTCTTCATAAAGACTATTTTGTTTTATATTGGTCAGTCTAAATTGTCCTGCAGGCAAATGTTAATCAGCATCTACAAAAAGTGGTAAAATAGACTTAGCTGTAGTCTGTGTAGAAAATGGAACCTTTTCTAGATTGATCATCTGCAAACTATGAGTGTCATCACTGAAGCGAGCACCTAAAATTCTAACATAGAGCCCCTTGCTAACACTCAGCTTGGTCTTTTCATCACTTGGCTCTCGTGTGCAAGCCCACAGGCTGTGTGAAGACACATAAAGACACATTTAATAAATGGGCTCAACTCTGGGAGCATTTGGTCACGTTTATCATTGAAGAGAGCAGATAAAAGATTAATACAGTCCTCATGAGCTTTGTTAAAGTGTAGGAAGAAAACAATGAAAGTGGCCTTTTCTATCACATAGGGGTGGATATGGGGCAGGAAAAATATAGATAGATTGATCATCCAGAAGACAAAGCTGAAAGGGGAGAGTTACAGACATTAACTATAGAGCAACATCAAGTATGTAGCCAAGGGAAACCTAGGAACCAAATATCTAAATATAATTCCATTGCTTCTAACTGTTGTTCCCATTCAAGGTTAGAAGACCTCACATCTCTTAGATCAGTGTACTAGAACCTGGTTTACATGTAGACTTTCTTTCTCTGATAGAAAAGAATGCACAATCATCTATCAGGATCAAATTAGACTATAATTAGTATCTTGCTACTCCCTCCTGGGTGCAGCATATATGGGGATTACCACTGGATCATTCATTTTGTTAGCATCTCTTTCCTATCTGTACAGCAACTCATAGTGGGTGTAATTTTACTGGTTAACTTTGGACTCATCCATCCAAGTCATCATAGAATCCATAAGATACAGTGGTACCTCAGTAGTGATAGTTAATTGGTTCCAGGAAGTGTGATGAATACCAAAAATGGTGAATACCAAACAAATTGTTTTGGCTGCAAAGGGTAATGAGTTATGAGGCAATCAGCATCAGGAAGTTCTAGCTTATGTATTAAGTACCAAACAAACAAGGACTACTGAGCGACTGTTTTTGTTGTTGTTGTTTGTTTGTTGTCAAAATGGAGTCAGTATCACATCTGATGAATATCAAAGTAATCAAGTGTCAAATTATGACAGTACCTGACTGCTATAGTTTGGATACAGAGTATCTCCTAAAGCCCATATGTTGAAGGCATAGTTGCCAGCCTGTAGAGCTGCTGGGATGTGAGCCCTAATGCATGGAAGTAATGTCACTGGGAATATGCCCTTGAAAGGGATATTGGAACTCTGGCCCCTGCCTCTCTCTTTACTTCCTGGCTATCCTGAGATGATCAGGCCTCTTGTGCCGTGAGTACCCACCATGATGTGCCAATGCAGGCCCACAGCAATGGGGCTAAGTGATCATGGACTGTTATTATAGGGGATCTTATGTTTCTGCTTTTTATGAAAAATTCTTGTAAAACATACATATAATCATTTTAACTATTTTAAGGGTACAGTTAAGTGTATTAAGAATATTCACACTTGGGCCGGGGACTTAGCTCAGTGGTTCCACTGCCTGCTTTGCAAGTGCAAGGTCCTGAGTGATCCCTGGTACCAAAAAACAAAACAAAAAAGAATATTCACACTTGTTGAACGCACCATATTTTCCTTTTCTTATCTGAGTTTTCTTTTATTTTTTATTAGTATGTGTTTGCAGTACCTAATGATTATCATGGGGAGTTGGTATGGGTACATAATACATTTTAATTCTTTTTTTTATCTCCTATTCCTTCCTCCCTCTCTGCTCTTTCCAAATGTTGATCCCTTTCTCATTTGCAAAAGGTCTGTTTTCATTTTTTGTATTTATTTTTCTGTAATGAATTTCTTTTTTTTTTTTTTTTGGTACTGGAAATCAAACTTGGGTCCTTGCACTTGCACAGCAGGCAGCGAAACCACTGAGCTAAATCCCCGGCCCTGTAATGAATTTCTATGATAAAAAATTTAAATTTAATCATTTTCTATATCAAATATTCTTCAGTCCATGAGATAAAAGTCCATGCTTCCCCTAACCATTGTGGAAAACAACTAGGGAGTATCCATCGTATAAGTTTTTCTTAGTACATAAAAATTTTATTCAACTGAAGTTTAGAAACATTTGGTCCAAAGAGTCTGTTTTGAAAACTTGGGTAATGCTTTAAAAAGCAACCCTGAGATACCTGTACATGAACAGGCAGTTGTTAATTAATAGATCCCTCATATGCTCTACCCAGTTTCTCTCACTAATAACATCTTGAACAACCATAATACAACCAGAGTACAGACACTGATGTAATACATAGATCATAGATCATGTTGTTTTCCCATTTGTACTCATTTGTTTGTGTAATGTATACAGTTTTATGCCATTTTATCATCTGTGTTTCATGTATCTACATGACAGTCAAGATACAGAATCATCACAAGGATCCTTCTTGTCCCCCTTTTATAAAGACATCCCCTCCTCCATGTAGCCCACTGGAAAACACTAGTCTGTTCTCCCTATCTATTTTTGTCACTTTAATAATGTTACATAAATGGAATCATTCAGTGTGTAACTTTGGGG